TAACTCAGGATCTGTCCGCCTTCGAGTAGATCCATCATACAAACACTCATCAATAGGCACCCAGCTGTCTCTGAGGATGGGATTAGTTTTTTAACCAGACTGCAAACTCTCAGAAGGCAGCCACTATAGGGAAATAGAATCCTTTAGTTGGCATTTGTAAGTATTGCTGTTAACTTTTTACTGCACACATATTTGATCAAATCTAATTGCAGGTTCCTCTAGAGATGGCACCAGGCCTGGACCACTGGCACTAACATCCCACATTCATAAAATATCTACTCAATTGATTGGCTGATGACTGATGGCAGAGTTTTCTAAAGGATAGGAGTAGCTGTAACTTGAAAACGCCAGTGTAATTGTTTTCTTCCTCTGTGCTTCCATCATCTTAATGGGGCAGGATGGAGCAGGTGGGGTTGGGGAGGGGAGGGAGAGAAAGAGAGATGGAAGAGGGGAAAAGGACATTAGCTGGCTCTGAAAGGTAACTCTTTCAGAGATGAGGAAACTGGGGTAAGCACCGAGTCCAAGGTCAGGCAGCTGGCAATAGTCAAAGGGAGGAGGTATGCAGAAATCAAATCGTTTGTCCCAAATCATGTATTCAGCAACTCCACAGCTGGCACTGCATGGCATCACACAGCATCCCATTGTGTAAACTGCTCAAGGGCACTTCCCTAGGAAAGATGGCCTCATACCCTAGCCCCTTGCTTTCATACCCTAGCCACCTGTGCCCTCCAGTCACCTGCTGATGAAGGTGGGGAGCGGGAGGGGAAAAAAGTGAGTGGTTTTCTGGTGTTCAGACAACAACAGATGACACCCTCTCCTTCAGATCCCCAAGCTCCTTCGCCTTGATCTTGCTGCCACAAGGGCCCAGGAACAAGCCAGCTATGCAAAACCAAAGGGGAACACTCAGGAGTTTCTGGCCCCTAAAAGGAACATCTGAAAGGCATTCTGGGGGAGGTCCAGGACATGTCCACCATGACCTCCAACGAGGCCAAAAGGAACATTGCAACCTGAGCTTCCTCTGGGCTCCTCTGCATTTAGTGTGTAGCTGTTCTCACCAGCCTGAAATTGCAGTTATGATCCCTGGTGGAAACATAACATAACATTGTGGTTTTGGTGCCCCACATTGTTTTGCTGATCTGGGGATAGGGAGTGGGGAGAGCAGTTGGCTGTCTGCCTGGCGTGCAAGAGTGCAGTCTCCTTCCCATGTTGCTGGAGAGTGCAGGACACCCTAACCCTAACCCTAACCCTAACCCTAGTCCTAACCTTGATGATGTTAGCACTCCCAGCTGGTCCCCTGGCTCCAAACCAAGGAAGGATGGCCAGGGGGCGCACACAAAGACCTGAATCTTAGCTTCAAGATGACACCCATCCACGCTTCTATGCTTGGGCTAAAATCAGACAGAAACATTCCAGTGTCTGAGCCCAACGTGGGGAATAAGAGAGGTTACCCCAGTCTGTGCTATGGAGGGGTGGGGACCATGAGGGTTCCTAGCCATCAAACTTTGAATCCGAATCACCTGATTTGTTTGTAAAAAAAAAATGCAAATATGGGGGCCTTACCCCAGATACTAAAATCTGAAGATATAGCCTAGAAACCTCTTCATTGTATATGCTCCCGGGAGATTCTTAATTAGCCAGCCTTCATCTAGCAACTACTAGCAGCTGCTCCCAATCGCACAGCGTCGGAATACTGGCTCTGTCTGCGAGGTGGCTTGGGAAGGGGGCATGTCCAGAGTCCTCATGTATAAACCAGGGATCATGCCACTGAGTCACAGAACCGTTATGAGGATTCAAGACAATGTAACTGAAATATTTAGAAATGATACTGCATTTTATCTTAAATTAGTCACTGTTTTTGGAACAAAGCTGAGGCCCAGAAGTCACCGCCTATAGCTGCACCTCCCTAGGCCAAGAGAGAGCATCTCTCCACTTGAGATTTTTTTGAAAAGCTTGCCTTGGGGGGCCTTCTGCCCTGCCTGCCTCTCTTCCCCCAACATTGTGTTCTCTTGGGAAAAGACCTTGAATGTCACCCCTTTAGCCTGCCCCTTTGCCTTTCCCCAGAATGACTCTCTCGGCTTCTAAGACAGACGCGAGCTCTCCTACGTTGTGATCCCACCCTGCGGAGGGGCATGCTGCCGGCTTGCGGGGAGAGCGTATTTATTTCTTTTATGCTTTAAGATGTTATGTGCTGCCTATTGTTTTAATGTGATGCATAATTACAGAAACCGCTCTGAAAATCTGTGTATTTGATCTGTGCTTTATTACACCCAGAATAACCCCCAATTCTTTTTCGTCTGCAGGAAGCAGCTTAAAATATACTCTGGCATCCTTTATGTCATCTTGAAATTGAGTAGCCAATTCTTACTGTAATGAAAATACGTATGCGCCTGCCCAGTGATATACAACACTACACTCTAATTACGGCTGTGCTTTAATTAACCTGAATTGAAGAGTGTTATCATTAAACTGCTGGTAACTTTGAATTATGGCTTTTCTTTAATTTAAAGTAGAAAACACAGATAATTAAGCCTCCAGATAATCAAATGCTTGAGGAGAGCTTCAATGTTTTGGGATGTTCCTAAATCTCATTAAACGTCCTTCCTTTATTGATTATTTCTACCTCTGCCTTATCATTGTGTTAAACGAATAATGGCACTAAGTTGAACACATTCTCATTCACATCAGACGGCTTTTGTTTTATTGTGTTCCAGACGCCGCTGTACCGAAAAAATACTAAATTCTCTGACAACAAGGTGTGTCTGAGGGATTTGCTCCTCCTGGGGACATGTTCTAAACTTGAAAATCAACCGAGGGGAGGATTTTCAGCAGCTACCAGTATCCGGCTCTCCAGCTGGCTCTGCAGGGCAGTGAGGTCAGCAATGCAGGCTCTGTTGTCCACAGGCTAGGACTGCGCTGGAAACGCAGATCCGGCCTGGGCTGGGTGGCCAGGGAGGGGAGGCCTGCATGAAACCTTCTCTACTGCAAACTAGAGCCAGTAGCACTCAGGGGAAAGGCAAGTCCTGTGTTGGATTATCAGATTTTCAGAAGGGGCCAAGAACAACTTTTTATGTAAAATACTTCTATTTTGAAATTCTGGCAATTAACTTTAAAAAAAAAAAAATGAAATACTGTGGTGGGCAAATTCCTGGTCGCATTTAGCCTGTGGGTGTCCCAGTTGCCGCTTCCAGGGCGAGCAGCCCGAACCCTACAGGTCAGCATGCCTGTGCTCTGATTTGGTTCCCAGGAGCCACAGAGAGGCAGGGGGCAGGCAGGTTTTCAAGGGTGCACTCATGTTGAATGTCAAGAAAGGTCAAGCCAGGCAACATTAACAACCAAGGAAAGGGCTCAGAGGACTCCCTGCCAATGCCTCCCACGCCATAGAAGCCCTCGGCTCTGGACTGTGCCCACACTACCCCTCCTCCAGGCACAGGAGGCACAGCTGCTGTTTATAAAGCCACTCCCGTTAGAAGTCCCGAATTCTCGGTGCTTCCCGTGCTAGGCGGGCTGGCTCCGAGGTGGAGAAAGTCCCCGGGGACGGCCTCTGTGCTGCAGGGCCAAGTGCCTCGGAATGGTTAACGTCTTTCTGTTTCAGAAGGAGAAATCGCTCTCAGAGACAGGGAGTTACAATAGGGCATCCATTCTCAGAAAATAACTTCTTTCAAATCAATTACCTATTCACTTTTCCAGTCCATTTAGCATCTAAACTTTCCCGCAGAGACAGGGTGAGAGATTTCAGTCAACAGCCAAACCGCTCTGGATTGCTCAGGGTCTGGGCCACGGACAGACGGAGGCACCTGCTGTGCTCACTGACAGGCGTCCCCAGGTGAACCCCAAGCCCAGCCCCTCCCCACTGTACACAGAACAGGACTGAGCCAGGGCAAGCCGGGAGCCCCGGGGCCACCCTCCTCAGACCTCTTTCCAGAGGGCCGGTGTGGTATGTAGATAGGCAGACAGCACAGGGGAACAGCTTTTCTGCTCCCCAGATTCCCCCGATTCTTCCCAGCTTGGTATCAGCGAGGTTAGCGAATCCCTTGCCAAGGGGTCAATGGGTCAGGCTGAATGTTTCAATGCTTCCAGGGAGTTGGTGTCTTCACAGAGAACAAAGCCCCTGTTTGACTTAAACCCAGCATCTGAGATCCTAAGCTGGGGGGGGGGCGGGGGAGGAGTGAGGCATCATCCTGATGGTGGAAGTTTCTTGGGGTCCAGGACACCTGAAGCTCCTGAGGTCATACCCCTTAGGTGACACCTGCACTACCTATGGCTGGGGCTGCCCTTGTCAAATCCGTCCTGCTGAGCCGGGGTCAGGAGAAGCTGAGCCTTCCTACTATCCTATAAAATACAGAGCTAATATGCTAATTAGACCGAACAGCAGAACAACTGTGCAGATGATCTTCTGACGAAGCTGGGGCTGTGAGGGCCAGCCAAGGTAGCCAAAGTCCCTTGCACAAACTTTGTGCATCTGGCCTCTAGTTGCAACATAACAGTTGTCCATGTTGGAGATTTTTTCAAGGTCTCTTTCTGGTACCTGTGGCTCTGCATTTCCTCGGCAAATCAAGAAGTCACTTTGAACAGTGCCTTCCCTGATGTCTCTGTGACCTGACTTAATTGAAAGAGATTAAAAATCCTTTCATGAAGGGGCTAGCGAGAATTGCTAGTAAAATAAGAGAAACATGAGTTTACACCTTCCCTTCATAAATATGTCTGCATCACAGAAGCATAATTCAAGATCTGTGGGAAAATGAAGTTCCTAATTTAGTACAAATGATGGACCACGCCTGAGATTCTCAGGACTGGAGGGAAAAGTATGGCCAGCAGAAATCCCCCAGGCAACAACCAATCAGCAACCCACCTTCCCATTCACTGCCCACGGCTGAGCCCGCAGGACACAGTCCCGCATTGCCCAGTGTCCCCTCTGTGCTGGGCAGAGGTGGGCATCTTTCCTGACGGGAACCCAGTGAATATCCCCGAGGCCCCAGGAGCATGTGGGCGTGGTCACTTACTCACAAACAGTAGGGAAGGACAGACCCACGAAGGCACTGGAGAGATATTCTGTGTACATTTCATTGGAGACTCCTTCCAAGTAGTATTTCTGCCATGTGTCTTCCTCAATCTGAAGGAGAGCAAGAGGAGGGTGTGAGATATTGGCAGAAAGCTACACAAGAAAAACTTGAGTTCTACCATTCTGGAAACAAAGGATTGCACTGGGTATGCGATGGTAACCTTCCTCAACAGCCAGAAACACAAGCAGGTCGCCCAGGAGAAGCTTTCCATGGCCCTGAATTCACAGGCTAGAAGTACGTTCCTCCTAAACACCCCTTCTTTTTAAACCTATCGATTCCCAAGGATGTAGAGGCATAGGTGCTCACTGCCATTTTGGTAGGCAGGTAAGCCGGTGTGACATTTTTTGAAAAGCAATTTTACAATTGTTATCAATATTTATAAAAGTCCCCATTCTCTTACATAATTCCATTTTAAGTATTCATAGCAAAAATACACGAAGGCCAGTATATAAAGACATATGTATAAGAAGATCCTTTCTATTCATACAAAATTGGAAATAACCACAAATGGTACATGTATACAATGAAATACAACAAATTAAGTTATGATGAAAATGTATATGTTAATATAGAAATTATGTAAAAGGGCACATTACTAAATAGTGTGTATAGTCTGATCCTGTTTTGTGTTGTTGTTTTTTTAATACTCTATAATTATTTGAATGCTTGTAAAGCCATGGAAAAATATAGAAAGCTTTTACCAAAAACACTAACGGTGGTTATATCTGAGATATACAATGACACCTTTTCTCTAGAGATTTCCCAAATGTCTGAAGGCCTTTACAAGGAGCATAGTTATATTACAATGAAACAATTACCTATTTCTCCTTTTTTTGGGGGGAGGGAGCAGGATTTTCCCAACCCCATATTGAATACCACAAAACACAAAATGTAGTTTCAGAGAGGTTTTACTCCAATTTTCATTAAAATGTGGGGGGTCTGTCTGATTAATCAAGTTCAATTGGTTTTCCCAAAAAATTTCTTCATGCTAAGAATTTCTGAATTTTTATTTTATTTTGGAATCAATCTTTAAAAATTATAAAGTGAATAACAACAAGAATGCTTAGCCACTCTGGGAATTTGGGGATCTCATCGCTCCCCCTGCATGCAGGCAGGCAGGCTGTGTCCTTGGGAGATGCTTTCTCCCAAGTTCATTGCCACTGGAGGTTCAATAAGAGGAAGGATGAGAGGGACTTCCCAGCCAGCGGGAAGTGGTTCTTAATAATTTCTTTTGCAGATGTTGAATTAAAAGGCATCTTGCTGATGGTCCAATGGTAAGTTAATGGGAGAATTTCAATGTTTGAACTTGAAAGAGACTGGTGAAGAGTGGGAAATGAACACCTACCACCTACTTGGTGACATTGTGGAATACAAAAAAACAACAACACAGAAATAATTTAGAAATAAATTGAATGCTCCCCGCTTCTCGGCTGCCTGCCTGCTTTGTGCTCAGTCTGGTGATTAGATTGTGTTGGTTAACCTCATTAGTGGGAGCTGCTTCTCACCTACTCCCACACGTTTCCCATTAGCCATGCACCGCTGCTGGGTGCCGCTGTTTATCTCCAAATCGGTCTTCCCCAGAGTGGGGTCTTTAAAAAACAAGGCACTCAACCATTTCTGCTGCTAAACTGTATGATTTTAAAAATTAGCTGCAGTGTGTTGAGTCTAAGCACAAACTTCCTAATTTCCTCAAAGCATAAGATTTCAACTTCTTTTTTCTCACATAAAAGTTTGCTGATTTTTTAAGCAAACATCGTTAATTCGAACTAACCTGAAAAAAACCTAGTTTTCAGTAAATAATTTGAAATATAGAACATTTTGGGCACTATACCATCAAAAACGTTTTAATGGTAAAGAAGAGAGCATATGAGGAATGCCAATGATAAGTCCTCATAGAACTATGAGAGTGAATTGTATGCTAAGAAGAATTTGGCCAGTTCTTTCAGCAGGGACATTCCATTTTATTTATTTATTTATTTATTTATTTATTTATTTATTTTATTATTATTATTATTATTTTTTATTCCTCACCAGAGGATATGTTTATTGGTTTGAGAGAGAGAAATATCAGTGTGAGAAAGAAACATCCATCCTTCGGTTCCCAGATGCACCTCCTGAATGCACCCCCAATGATGGAACCTGAAGCCTAGGTGTGTGCCCTGACTGGGAATGGAACCCACAACCTTTTTGGGATAGAGGACAACACTCTAACCAACTGAGCCATCCGGCCAGGGCAGGGACATTTGTTTTATAATGTGTTCCACACGTTCCTTATTTAAATATTAGAGTGATTTTCAAAAAGAATGAAATGAGCCTTTATCTCAATCATTTTTAATTATTGGTGATATTCCTCAATTAATGGGTTTCCATATTGTCTGTTTAGGTATGGTCAGGATTTTCATGTCTCTGTGTCCTAATGGAACTTCTCTTCAGACCAAATTTTACTGTAACCTACTGTAAATTTTACTGTCACTAAACTTTTGAAAGTAGAAATAGATATTTTGTGCAACAACAGTATTATGCATGTTTGTTTTGAACTTAGCAAAAATCATTTGTTTCACTGATTAGTTCATTCAGCAAATATTTGTTGAGCATATTAAATATCTTAGGACCTGTTCATGTTACTGATAAAATCAATTTAAACCAGTATTTCTTTCCTCATATTTTTTTTCTCTTTGCCAGAAAAAGCACCAACAATATCCAGCTATGACATATTTGACCAGAAACATCTGACTTTTACTGACTTTCTCCACGTTTCTTTTCCTACAAGTCTGCCTTTGTGGCAGATTTGAAATACTTAAGGACCAAAAGTCAAAAAATCTGGGGGAAAATATACCTATCTTTCTGGAAAGCAAAATGCCTCTTGCACATCCATAGGCAGACTCTGAGGCTGTATCTACAGTGAGGATATGGTAGCAAGTGAATTCTCTGTATACATGCTGAGGAGTCTAAATTCATAAACCAGGTTTTCACCTCTTTAACACTGTTTTCATATGAATGAGTCAACATGTTTTCTGGTTTCTAAGAAATGTTTCACACACACACACAAAAGAAACAACACCCTCCCCCCACCAACAAAAAGAACAAAACACACACACTTAAAATGGTTAAGATGGTAAATTTTATGTTATATATTCTTATCACAATTAAATTTGTTTAAAAACCATATGTACCACATAAGAGCAGAAGAATCAGTAATTCAATACTACGGAGATGCCTTAATCCTTAGGGGCAAGGATGACAAGTTGTGATGGAACAAGGACAGTCACGGGCAGTCCCATCAGGAGAGTCATGTGCAAGCAAACACCAGCCTATGACACTGCAGTGGTCACCAGCCCACTCAGCAGACCTCACTCTCCATCCCCAGGCCAGGTGCCAATGGTGACTTCTTATTCAGGTTTACCTTTCTGTCTCAAGCATGGCATTTCCACAAGTGTGGAAAAGCGGAAGTGCAGGTTCCTTTTATCTTTGTCGGCAACAATGAGATGCACTCTCAGGAAGGGAAAAACAAGTGTAGAATATGTCTAGTTTAAGGCGCTGTGGTGAACACAGAGGAAAGGCCAGTGTACAAAGAAATCTAGAGAGGGTACAGTGAGTTTGGTCATGATGATTTGCCTTTCACAAAAGACAACCCTGGGGCACAGAGAGGTTAAGTAACCCCCTGAAGGTCACAAAGCAATGAGTAGGACAAACAGGATTTAGAGTTCATGTTCTTTCTTTTTGTTTTTGTTTTAATATATATATATATATATTTTATTGATTTCAGAGAGAACAGGAGAGGGAAAGAGAGATAGAAACATTAATGATGAGAATCATTGATTGGCTGCCTCCTGCACGCCCCCTACTGGGTGGGGATTGAGTCCACAACCCCGGGCATGTGCCCTTGACCAGAATTGAACCCAAGACCCTTCAGTCTGCAACTGATGCTCTATCCACTGAGCCAAACCAGATAGAGCCAGAGTTCATGTTCTTAATCACCTACCATATTACCTCTGGCTAGAAATTATAGGTCAATATAGGAAAGCAGTGATGCTAAAGTTTGGAGGCCAGGAAAGACTTTCTGTATATAAGCACCTAAGAGGGAAATATCAGATCAGAACAACTTCAGGGATTCAAAATCCTACTCCCTGGAGCCCACGACTTTGTGAGAGGCCAGCAGGAGTAACAATGATTTCACGTCAAGCTGAAAGACTTCAGGCCTCATCATAGAGTATTACGGGCATCAATTCTATTCTATACAATGGAACCATCCGAGCCTCCAGTTCTTTCCTAAAATAGTACATGCTGTTCTCCACATCTGTGTTGTCAATGTATTTTTAACTGTAATATGAACACTTCTCTGCAGAAAAATGAAGGAATGGGACCAAAATGACTTAGGGAAAGGAGCCAAAATTAATTTGCCAGTCATTCAGCAATCTGTCAAAGGCAAAGCATTGCCTGAGGCAGCAAGTTGTCCTCCTCTTATCCCACCAAACTCCAGCTGTTCCAGAAAAGCACTTAGGAAGATGCTCGGGTGACCTGTGCATCAAAACCCCACAGAATCCTCAGGGAGAAAAGGAATCGAGCCACTGGCCAGCTCATCTCCTTTTCATGGTTTTACTCATGGGCCCTTCATTAACTAATTTTTCAACCAGTGAGTTCCACCCCCCAAGAAAATGGCTGATGGCTCTGTCATCAAAGGCACCTTCCAACTATCTTTAGAACCATCCGCCTGGCTCTGGGAGAAGGAACACCTTCTTGATTCCAATTCTGCACGTGTTACTAATGATCGGTCGTAATGACACCTCTTCTATTTTATGCTTTCCCTGATGAGCGTGAAACTGTGTTTCTCTAATGTTAACAGCCCGGTGAATGTGGAGAATCAACCATCCCAGCTGGGCTGCGTTACAAGCATCACGATTTCTGTTCCAGCAATGAGTCAGGATAGCCATGCTGATTGCAGCCAAATCATTTTGTAAAAGTCTATCCCTACCTCCAGAGTCATCTAAATAATTCCAAGGATGATCACATTCCAATCCTTAGTTAATTGAAAACAAGTACATTATTTTAA